CCACTTTGCTCTCCTTGTCCTTTCATTTCCCACTTCTTTCCTTCCCTCTATCAACCCAAAAGCTCCTATTTTTCTTTCTAGTTGCTATTTGTTGCATACCAAATACTGCAACGCTCACGGTGGGATTGTAAGGCCCGTTTACGCGGATGTGACAAGGTTGTTGAGATGCGGCCTATTTTAAGTTAAGAGAAATAGACCGGGTTAGAGTAGAAATATAGAGTTCTGATATGTTACTGTCTCCCGCGCTGAGTTGACGGTCGTGGGTCTGTTTTGACATTCAGGTCGTGACGTTTGTCTTGCTTCCTTGGGATTTTCCGTTGAACTCTCTCGTGACTACTGCCTCGTTGGTTTTATAAGTTTATCATGTCTACTGATTGGTTGACGTGAAATATAAATGGTGGGTGTGTGTCTTCCTATTGGTTGTGCATAATGTTGGGGGTAAATGTAAGCTTTGACGTCTGTCGGTGGTGAAGAACGTTTAAATAATTTGAACCCTTATGCCTATCGTCTTGAGGGTGACTTATTGACCCTTCCTATGGTTGTGACACAAGTAGTGGTCATGTGACAACGAGTGTACAGAAGTCAAGTAACGCCGGCAATAATGACATAAAACAGTCCCGCACTTAACTTGGGACGTGCGGTCCTAGGACCGCAACATTATTCTTGCTTGTCTCATTCTCTTTTACTCCTTCCCATGCTTCTCTCGCCTCCTTTATCTCTGCTCCCAACCTATCCATTTCATTTACACTTGTCTGGAGTATCCTTTTCATTGTATTTTCCAATGTATTCTCCTAGACAGTTATCCAAACAGATGTCTCTGCCATGCTTCCTTCCTTACCAGCTATCAATTTTTCCATAGCACAACTGTTTTTGCTTGATGTTGTCATATCCTAACCTCTTTACTTAATCTTCTGCTTCTCCTTTTTTGACTTTCCTGTCTCTGTTTCCCCTTGTATCAACCGATCAGTTATTCCTTTGTTTTATCTCTAGTGCTTCGCTTTTAATTCCAAATCGAATACTTGGCCCGCAGTCCCTTTTATTTTTCCCACTCCACAAACCAGACCTGCCATCTGAAATATCAAACCTCAAATCTGTAGTAGATTTAACGTTATAGCGATGTCGTAAGTTATTGTATTTTGAAATATCAGACGTCGAAAGCTAGTTTTATTTGGCTTCAGCATCCGAAAATAGCGTGTATATATACTTTCTTCTTTTCGAAGGAATATCTGGTTTGCGCGAATGGTATGAGACATCGACAGACGAATAAAGCGAAACCAGCAGCAATCGCTGAACTAAGTATATGTAAGAAAATAATATTCGGATAGGTTTGATAATAAAATGAAAAGGAAGGTATTTTTTAACTTCCAGTTTCAACTCCTCATCAAAAAGTTATCAATAATTTACTGTCAATTCATCATCCCTAATTCACAGGTATTAGCCTGAATACGCCGACGTAGAATTTTGATTTTCATTGTCAACAATACCTTAGAAAATATTAACGGTACTCATCAGTAGTCGGACACCAATCTTTGTCACCCTGAAACAACATATGTTTCTTTGTTTATCTGTTTGATCCTTTTACACCAATTTTCTTCTGAGTGACATCACTTTTTGTAATTGTGGGTGTTCAAGTTTACATCATTCTTCATCTTCGTCACTCTTTACTCAATTCAATTACATCATATACGACTTCCTTGTCATTAGCTCGTACGCAATCGCATATAGGGATGTAACGTTTCCGATGAAAGACACGAATTCATGACATTTATCGATCTAATTATACAAGGTCTTCCAGCAGTACGTACTCTTATTTAAGGAACTGAATGCAAGAATTAAAATAAGTAAAAGCGTGTCGTATGTACATATATCAGACAAACTTCACTGCTCGATGACAGTATAAATAGTTCTCAAAAATGTTCGAATGCACCTGTCGACACGTTTATGGCTACTTTCGTAAAACTGGGTCAAGGATATACCTCAAAGTTTCTTTATATGGGATTTCACATTTAACAAAATTGAATCTGAGATTTCGTCAAGTATGCATACATTTGGACAGTTTTCATGCTTTTCTCTTTTGAAACAGCAGTCTCAAATAAAAAAACGTTATATATTTTCTTTAATTTTTTTATGCAGAGTTACTATCCGCTCGGTTGTACCATGATTTTGGAGGCATACATGAACAAACTATTGTAGAGTAACTAGGTATATATTGTTGAGTAAATATTCGGCGAAGGTGAATAAAGTATACCTATGAATGAAAGTAGTATATTTTCTTTCAGAATTATGTTACTATTTTTAATCTACGTTCACTTTTTTCACAACGATCCTTATCTTGTTGCTATTGAAATGTTATAGTTATTTGCTTTCACTCACCAGCAGTCAGCATGCAGTCCTGGTGCCAAATTCCGAAAATTTTCAATTTATAATATTTAAGGTCTTTCGTTACAATTATACATGTAAGACCAAGAATAAAAGTATAAGCAATAATGTGACAGGCAGAACCAGATTTTAGTAATTACAATTTTTTTTGGCGTTTTCAATTGAACCCAACATATTTCGTGCGGTCGGTGTTTATAAACATTATGTTCATTGAACATCACTCGAAAATACGTACGACTGCAACTCCGAAGATTAGATATGCCTTGCTGTCCTTCCACCGCATTTAGTCTATGTAAAGTGATGAACAATGAACGGTCACTCACTAACAAATCACGCCATTATCTACCAAAAAGCAACTTCCTTGGCAGTTTCCCACTACTCAACCTGAAGTCCTTCCGACAAACCAACGTCCAATCAAGGAACATCGTCTTTCCTCCAATAACACCCAACCTTAACCACTCAAAACGGACTCGAGGACACCGAACGGAACACGACGAGATATCACAGATATCGAGAAACAGAAATCAGTATGTATTCGACATCCATCATCAAGACATATACATATAAAACTCGTATCCGGAACGGTACTCCGTTAATGTTTTACATTTCACTATTGTACAGTTTAATTGCAATAAATAATCACGGTACTAATCGCATATTAATAATCTATTTCAAATTACACTCGTGACCCGTAAATATATAAAGCTAATCACGCAATATTAAGTTGGCGCCTGATGCGTTCTTGACAATTGGAGAAATTCAATTGATTAAGCGCATCATACTCATTTTCCGTGCCAAGCCGCTTTTACCCGATACGAACTACAGGCCATTTGCTATTTTGGCCAAAAATTGATATATTATGACACAATATATCATTGCATCATCAATCCATAAGTATTTAGCTTGTTTAAAGTAGTTATCACACCGTGAACCATTTACTGTGCGCACCGTAGCGCTGCGAACAGTTCGATTGTTAAAGTCTGTCAGTTCAAAGACTTTCGACTAGTAAAAAGAACTATAAGGGTAGTGACGTTATGCAGCGATTTCCCGAATATGCCATTTTTATGCATCCATTGCTTTAAAGAAGTCATCGATTACATGTAGTATACATAAAAATTAGACAAATTTATGTTCCATTCTGCATTCCATATAATGCCTCATTCTTTCAGTGGAAATGTATCTAGGATTATTATGCTAGATTAATCTTTAACAGGCAGAGATCTGCTCGTCTAATAAACAACGACTCCTTTTTAATAACAAAGCAGGTTTATTTCAACTAAAACGTTGCACTATGTTTTCCGCAACTCTTGAACTGGAACTGTCAAACTCACAACTCTCTACTCACTATAACATGACTACATGCATTCTGCCTCACGCGCGCCTTTGCGCCCTTATTTAAATTCTAACACTCTCTCTTTGCATACGCTAGCTCTCTTCGTTGATCACTCATTTCCCACGCGACCTTGCCTTTGGTGGGTCAGGTACTTCAGACACTCGAACACATTGTCAAGCTTTCGTTCATTGTTTGCACTCGACCCAGTCATAAATGTCTCATCCATAGTATTCTTGAACGTGGTCAGCCGTCCGTCTGCATGTACTCCAGATAATGGCCTAAACACCGAAACCGTACCCTATACCGCTCTTAATACTGTTTCCCTTGCAAGTGCCCTTCCCTGCTCACAATACCACGTACATTTTCTTTAGAATTAGATTTGTCATAAAACATATTTCTAGCACATTAAGTAAATATATCTACGTGTACCATAATTGGTACACGTTACCTGCGGATCAAGTTTAACGTGAACCATAAATGATACACGTAGCACGAAATGCGTTATTGTCATTTGAATTCCAAGACGACCTTTTATAAATACAGTCGTATGAAAAGAAAGGTTGAGTATGCATGAAACTTATTTAAAACAGCGTAGTCAGTGTATTTGTAGAATTTCGCATAATACGAACCTATAACTGTCAGATGAATTCTTGCATTTCTGGTAGGACTTTTAGCGAAGTCAACTCTACATCTGTATTCACCTTCGTCTCTTTCTTCGATATGATTGATGTTTAAAGTTGCAGGCTCCTTGACTGTTCTGAAGAATGCACGGTCGTTTAGATGGTCTTTGTCATTCCAGTGAGAAGCCTTTTCTGCATGTTTCCCTCTCATATCGTAACTGAAATGACGTATCATTAATTTATTATTACAACTTCAAATTTTGATTTAGGTAACGTATTAAATTAAGGAAAATACGATGCAAAGCTGTAAGAAAATGAAATAGAACTACATAAATACTTTATCCAACATCATCCCGGCAAGATTATATGATTAATATGATTAATATGAGCATATGAGAAGTTAGATGCTGAATCAATCATAATTTAGTAACGAAAGCTGATGTGTATACTCCATCGGCTAGTAGTCTCAGTTAGAATATTGCGTTTCAAAGAAGGCAGTAGATTTCGATGCGTTTGAAACGTATTTTAGAGATCAAGAAAGAAAATATAAACGCTTGGTTAATATAAGCTTCTCTGACTCATTTATCCATAGTATTAACAACGAACAGCTGTGTAAGGTTTTTTGAAAATATTCCCGATTCAGCTTAGTATCGTCATCGTTCTGAATACCTTTTTTTCAAAATGGCTTATTGGTCTGCAGACTTCCGGACATATGCGGTTATTGATAAAAAAAAATTAAAGACAAAGATCTATATAATATTCTCTAGGTATTCGTGTTCAATCATTTTAACTTTTATGAAAATTATCAAAGCTCTTCATCATTGACCTATCAAATTTTTATAAAAAATTTCTAAATTTTCCGTTAATATTTTTCAATGCTTTTACCAACTTTTGAAAAATCAAACGTCAGTGCCTAATAAATATTATAACAGACGTATAAGTGATGATTCAAAATAATGGGGTGTCCAGATCTCTCTCTCTCTCTCTCTCTCTCTCTCTCTCTCTCTCTCTCTTTCTTTCTCCCTCTCTCACCCTCTCTCTGTCTGCCACATTGTTTTTAAAGACATGTTTTCGAGAAGAGCTCGTTTAATTCTTTGGAAGGTATGTTTCCATACGTATCCTCAATTTCTCACTAGTCAGTCATTCCTGCATCGTACATATGACTATCTGCTTCGAATTGACTATACTGCACGACTGACATGCTGAATCTGTATGCACTTCGCCCATCTTTACCGTCTGCAGGAGATTGTCTATTGGCTATCTTAATTTGTAGGTATTGTGGTATCTCTGACGATGAAAGATACTCTTCCAAATTTGTTCAGTATCCAAAACCTAGACTTCAGTGCGATTAGTGCAAATTGCTTAATTAACGAAGTTTCCTCGTAAAACGATTGATCTTCACTGGTTTCGCTACAGAAACTCTTCGCACCTGGGTAGTGCCCCGAGGTGCCAATAAGGCACACTGATTGGTTAACGGCCCTGTTTGCACATTAACCAATCCTGGGTCTTCCTGGTAACTTTTCTCGTCCTGTATTTTGTGCCTTCTTTTGGTACATTTTCAGGTGCGACAGTGCGCTCGAAAATGTTGCAAGGCTGGCCAATTTCCAACGGGTTATTGTGCATGACGTGGCAGGCCGTGACTAGCCTACCACGCCTCGCGGACCTTTCGGAGGAGCAGTGAATATGTAGTAAAGTGCTGTTGAGGCTGCTTTTCATCCTTATAAAGGGATTAAAAACTTTCGCTCATGCGAAGTACGAGTTACTCACAAACAGCAGTGAACGTGCGAGTTCCATAAATCCTGTTGACCGTTTGCGCGCCAAACATTGTTACTTGTTCGTACGTATGGCCGCTACAAGTTCTTTCTTCGTCGAATGTGGAGTATGTTATGTTAGGTATTGATCCAACGATTAAATTGATTGTGTTTATAATTAATAACACATGAGAAAAACCTTTATTGAAAATAGTAGCCGCAATGAGGAGCAACCTTTGACCTTGTAGTGGTCCAAAATAATCATTTTTGAACCAAACAGAATTATCACAACGTCATTCTTTTGTACTACTCCACCCAAAGCAAATCAGAAGCAGATAAATATACATATATGTGGATATATATATGTGGAGATGAGTGTCTCCAGTATGTGCGCCATATACATATGTATCGAGTGGAAAGATTATTTATGGTAGAATGTCGAATGCGAACGAAGGGTTAGCAAAGGAATGCGCCTGAAGATTCGTGGTACGTGACGCCATAGGAGCGAGTTTGTATGTCATGCGTACGAAGTGACTGATTGTGAAAGAAGAAAGAAGGTTGAAAAAGGAGGAAAGAAGGAAAAAATATGAGGTTTGAATAAGGACACATGTAAGGGTGTAGATGTGTGGGAGCCTAAACCGTTCTTACGTCACAATTATAGTCCTATTATTATTAAATCTTGTCTGTTTTACCTTTTATGTCCTCAACCTCATTTGACTAACACATCGGATTTAAATTACCGAGATATGCTAGCATAGACTCTCGATTCTCCTATTGTCACGATCATTAGAATCGGTTACGTGCTGATAGACTATAACATCATACCATTGTGCACGTGTAAAGGTGTTACGACACGCAAGGTCGCAAATAATTTTTACCCTCCATAAACTTTGTTACGGCCCTAGTACCGAAAATCCCAAATTAAGCAAGGGATAGGTTTATATCCTTATTTCTAATGTCCCTTGACTCACGGATAACCATTCTCGCCTGGTCACCACTTGGGTGAACTTCAGCAAGAGTCAATAAGTCTTCCTTGAAACGATGAGCATAAAGACCCAATTTGTTTAATTGTCCACCACCGAAGGGCGTCGAAACTAATACACAATCCCCACGATATTGGCAACCAATTCTCCTTCAAATCCAACGAAGGCAATACAGCAACCACGGCCAAGGATTTCTATCTCAACTTCTACCTAAATGCAGTCAAAATAAACCTACCACGGCAAACTCAACGCAAGAGAAGAGTCGTAAATCAGAACTCTTTAGAACAACTCTAGCCAGGTTTAGCTAGATTAATTTAAAGTAAGTCCGGATCCCTGTAGAATTATTGTATTCGCGTAACAAATCTTATAACCTCGCGAAGACCTTAACGTGAGAGTCGAAGAGTTCGGGGATCAACAAACTCAAAAATAGTCTGCTTTAAATGCTGCAAACCTTCATATCTTACTTTAAGACTTCAAACTGCTATTAAAGACAAAAAAGGAATTTGATGCCTCTCATAATATGGATTTGTCTTGCTATTTAAACATTTGTTAGTACCATATATGTAACACATATGTTTCATCGAATAATATGAAATAATGATGTGCAAGAAAAACGTTCCCGTAACTAATAACATGATTAAAATTTTCATATAGCAGCTGATTTCATTGCTTCTACAAAAAAAACAGTGAATTTAGCAGATGCATTACTTTGTTACTGTGGCGATATTTGGCTATGGATATATATTTTGGGTAAATGAAAAGTTTCTAAGATTTTTATAGTCTTTTAAGTATATTTTAGGTAAGAGCCTTCATTGTGTGAATATGAATCTTGTATGTCATAATTTTCTGACGACATTTCTTAGCTTACTTTTAAGTTCAACCTTCGTTTAGTATCAAACAAGCTTATTTCTCCTTTTTCGCTCGAAACCTATAAATTACTGGCCTCATGGTGCAGCCGAATGAATCGTAAGTTTGTACATATTATTGCTGCATATTTCTTGTAACAAAAGGCATGCGGAATCTGAAATATATCGCTAGTAATTCGGTGAAGAATTTTCCGATCATTCCTAGAGAAAACATTGTTATATAAATTTGAGTCATTTGTGAGAACTTACATGCCAATATTCTTCTATTGTTCAAAGAGGAGTCCAAGGTCTCAAATATTCGCGTAAACTTCAGTCCAACATGTTAACATCCAACAGTTCGCGAAGATAAAGATGGGGATTATCATTCTCCCCTTTTATCCAAAGTGCATATTCTCGTCGTAGACGAATCGATTACACAATTAATTTAATAGACTGCTGCTTCAATCATTTGTATAATGTTACAGTATTCTAAACAATATCGATCAATGTTCTTCACTCGTCAGAAAAGTTTTATCTTACGACTTTGTTATTCAAATTTATTTAAATTATTTGCTTTAAGCTGTGAATAAAATAAATATGTGTTTGTATAGATTGAATATTTGTTGCTTGCCGCTGTTGCTGCTGCTATCTTTCTATACTTCTGGAACATGAAACCTAAGCCAGCTCACCCATGAATGATTATATCAAATTCAAAATCGAGAATTACACTCTTTATCCTACACATCTGGTCAATACTTGGCACTGTATTACAATTAGAGATGCATACGACCATTATTTGCAAGATAATATTTTAGAAATTGTCCTCACTTGCCTAAAGAAATTGGTGAAAATAATTATATTTTGCAACAACATACGATAGAAGCAGTAAAATCTATTTTCTTCGAATACTAAGTTCCAGTAAGTTATACACGATTGTTATCTAGTTCGTGAGATATACATTATAAATGAAATGTGTATTGAATAATATTTGAAATATTTCTTAAATTGCACTGCTCAGTTTGTGCCACACTTAGAAGGAATATTGAATTACATCAATGAAAATATAAATTAAATTATTGGAATTAATAAACATATGATGTCACTACAGATTCCAGGGGATACAATTTGTACAAGAACTCACAACAAGCACAGGTTCAACACCAATTTGTTTCAAATTGATGTAACACTACGATTGAATTCTTCGAAACATGCAAAAATAATTTTACAAGACACAATATCATCATCTTCAAGATACTGCCAACCGATTCGCAAAAAATTTATTCCAGAATAAACAGATAGTGTTATCAAGGAAATAATGAATATACAGACTAAATTAAGTACATTTTCAAGAAATAAGGGTGTTTCGGAACCAAACCGTGAATTCGAGGATCGATGAGATAGGCACGGATGTTGGGTTGTAATGGCACGTGGGTATAGATTCGACCGAAAGTGATCAACGAATTCGGCAGTATTCGACTCAGATGTTCTAATTTATGGACCACACCACACAATCATCGAGGTGACTCTGTCCGATTTGAATACGTAGCAAATGAGCAATCAACGGTGAATGATTATTCGCAACGCTTAATTCTGTCGTCGGTGAGATCAACTTGTTCCGATGTTTGCATTCTTGCGATTT